ACCATAAAGTGTGTAAAATTGATGACTAATCCTCAGATCACAGATTTTAACTGCAGTGAGTCTTAAGCACACTGACGAACACAACCATGGATCCCTTCATATAAAATCAGCATCACAAAAACACAAATTTGTCCTGCACAAAGTGCAATTTGAGTACGCCATGCCTGACAGAAGAAGAGCTGTCTGCTGACAGAAGTGGTCCATATGGCCGGTACGAGCCTTTATGTAGAAGCATGTATCTGTACCCCAACACCCAACACCCAGCACACACACACCCACACACACACACCCACACACACAGACTGGGGGCCCTGGGGCCATCGTCTCCCTCATGAATAACAAGCATTCAGAAAAGCAGACAGACTGCTGTATGCAGCACAAGGCAACACAGCGAGACCTACAGCCAATCAGAGTCACCGATTACAGTCAGGTTATTGCATGTTCTTCTACTGAACCACCATGAGAATAGCAACAGTACTAACTTGGCTAACTTAATCCACGTGTCATGTGTGCTGCATCCTGCACTCTATCCCAGCACCATCCTCACCTAAACTAGCGCTCCAATGACTCGTCGCCATAATTGATGATGTCGACGTGTCATATACTAAAACCATGTGTTAACAGTTACTGAAATAATCCTACACTAATCAAAGAAAAAATGGCAAATTAGTTGACTCGACTCGAGTCGTAGTGAGGACACACCTGAAGCTGAGCGTGTATGACTCTCACAACACTCAGCATCACGACAGCCGTCACTGAAAACAGCACGCAATAAAAATCACTCCATGTTTATAATCACATAATCATAAACTGGGAAAACTTTCAATTGAGCCCAAATGCTTCCACGACTAGCTCAGACTGTGGGTCACCATTATTGTTTCAGAGGTGGTCTTTCCCTGTGTGCTGGCAGCCCGTCCAGGTACTGCCCCCCCTGCAGCAGCTCGGACAGAAGAGGACAGGTGGTTTTCAAATATCCACATTTTTACTAGTCGGCACGCCAAAACTGTTCTTCACAACCAGCAGACCACATGGGGGTAAACGTTGCCATGGTAATAAAGCAAACACTCAGAGACCGCCACAAACAGGCAGGCCATCAGAAGTTGCATGCACACACACACAAACACACACAAAGCTGCAGTTCACCACAACCACGGCTGTGACCCAGCGTCACTCTGTCCCCCCTATGAAAGGCAGATTGTGTGGGCTATTTCTGGAGGGCCTGAAAGGCTGCTGCTCTGGAGCGATGGAGGAAGTGGTTGCCCACAGGCAGGCACTGCTGGCAGCATCACACACACTCCTCTATCCTCCCCAAGCCCCCTCGCTTCAGCTCACTTGCAATATGAAATGCTTTTATTTGTCCCCTGAGCCTTATGAAGCATCACGTAAATCTGTCCTTGCATTTGCTCACTCAGTTCTGAGCGCGCCTGTGAGCACCACAGAGCTGCAGCTTCGATACTCCAACCATTCAAACGGGCAAGGTCACAATATGTTTGTACCAGATGATGCCAGCACATATTCCTATACTTCTACAAGAACGTGGGTACAGAAGATGTGCGTTCTTATTTGATTGTTATGGAAAATATTTTAAATAAAAACACGACAAAGACTGATGCACGTGAGATATGGCATCAAGTCTTCTCAAATGTTATTGGTACCAACACCAAAGGTTTCTGTATAACTTATAACACACCACCTTTAGGATATAAAATCTCACAAGTAATACTTTTAGACATTTGTGTTGGAGTTCATCATTATTAGAGTGAGTTTTGAGTAATGGCCCAACCGCTTTGTGGTGGGGGTCACACCAACTTCTAATCAGGTGAACACTTGTGCCAAAAAAGAAGAAATTTCCCAAGACAACGTAAAGGCAAGCAGGTGGACAGATTAAGAGAGGGTATCACAGGTAAAACCTACTATTATCTTAGATACGGTGGCTGCTGTAGGACAAATAACTCTGGCTGCTGTTCATCTGTAGTGAGTAGAGCCTGTTGTCCACAGCTGTCAACATGTTTTTACTCTGGAGGCTGTAAAACTGTGACAGGAGTGCGAGACGAGTCGATAAATCAGTGAGAGTCCCTTCTGACTGCTGGCAGCCAATAAACGGCTGTACTGAGGTGAACTGTTGAGCATATTCTCCACTTTCTGTCTTTAAGCGCTGCTGCTTTTACCACCGTTAGCCGTTTACTGGCATCCGTAAAACTTCCTTTGAAGTCAAATACTGTTTGGCACTTTGCAAATAAACTCATACAATGTGAGAATGCAATCAGAGAGCAAGTGTGGATTTTAGAACACACGAGACCAAGACTGTTAACTTGTAACCAACTGTTGCCGCTGTTAAGCCGGGAAGGTCACAGGTCTAATGTGCAGACAATAACTGCAACAATATCAGGAATCAATGAGCATGCTGATGCACATTTTCCTGTGTTGGAGGTCTGACTTTTGATCTGATGATGATGCTTGAGATGAGGAGGAAGACTATGACTATGACCATTACAGCCTAAATTTTAATAATATGTCTGCATTAAGTGCATAGTAATTACATAAATTGCAAAAAAGTGCAATAAACTACAAAAAAATTGAAAATCGTTTTTGTTTT